TCAGGCCTCTACATCAACTATGAAGTGGACTCTCCAAAAGGACATGGGTCCATCTGGCCCCCTAAGAAAGTTGCTTACTTCTTGAAGCCTCAGTTTTCTCACCTATAAAATGGAGGCCTAGCACCTACTTAATTGGGTTTTTGTGAGGATTAAATGGAATATTGCATATAAAGCACTTAATACCTGTCTAAGCAAGCCATACCTGATGACTGCTATTACTTGGGCATCTCACAGACCTTTCTAATGTCTGTTCAGCAATGATTATGATCACAGTTGTAGGATATGTTGCAGAATGTGTAGTCACAAATCGTACAGTATTGTGTCATTATCCTCTATAGGTGGCAAGAATGTTTCTAAAGATAGCATGTCTTCACACTCCTTATGGGAATAAGAGGAAAATGGTTTATTATTCACTATTCAGACTCAAAGGAAATGCACACTAAACTAATTTCAGATGCACAACACAGTTGCCACCGTAGACCCAGTGATATCTTTTAAATGACTTATATCAAGAGTATGAGTAGAAAGTTCCCTTTATTCCATACTATTCCCACTATATCAGAGATGTTGAAGCTATGTTCTTCTTTCCCTTCAAACAGGTGCATTCGTTCTGCCTTCAAATTCATGAGCCTATAATTTGAGGCCATAAAATCTGGCCTCTTTGCTCCTAATCAGCCCACTTTCCATCACTTCCAAACCTGAATCATAGATGCGGATTTGGGTGATGCAGCTAAAGAAGAATATATCTAAAGGCTGATGATTCCCTAATTTATATCTGGACTTATCTCCCAAACTCAAGATTTGTATATTGAATTGCTGCCTTTATAGCTCCACTTGGACATATAATAGACATGCTTTCCTGATGTTCTTCCCAAAAACCTGCTCCACCACAGGCTTTCCTATATCACTTGATGCCAACCCTATCCTTTAGTTGCTGAGTCCAAAAATCCTGAGGCTATCATTGCCTCCTTTGTCTCTCTCACACCATTCTAAATCATTAACAAGTCCTTTCTGCTCTAACTTAAAAATATGTCTAGAATCCTGCCACTTTCATTAGTTCTCTTGCTACCACTGTGGTGCAAACCACCATCGTCTCTTCTAGATTACTGCATGAGCCTCCTAATAGTTTTCTCCCTGCCCCTTCCGTTGCTTCTCTGCGGTCTGTTCTTAACTGGGCAGCCACAATGAATATTTAAAACTATGTCAGATTTTGTCAGTCTTTGCATCAATATCTTGCAATGGTTCCCCTTCTCGCTCAGATTAAAAGCCAAAGTCTTTCTAGTAGCCTACAAAGCCCTATGTGATCTAGGCCCCTTGTAACTTCTCTGACTTTTTAATCCACTGTTTTTTCTCCCTCTTACTGTTTCAATCCTATTGGCCACTGGACAGCTGCGCACCACAGCTCACGGCANCTCACTGCGGCTGCTGGCCGCTCACGCTGGCTGCTGGCTACACACTGTAGCCCATGGCAACCCACTGCCACAGGGACTGCAGCCTACACCATCGCGGGCGACTCACGGCAGCCCAGCTCCAGGTTGAGCTGTTGTTCAGCATTTTAGCTTTGGAGGGCAGTGTCACTGGCCCTCATATGTGGGATCCGAACCGGGGCCCTCTGGCATTCCAAGCCAGTTCTTAACCAACGCGCCACTCGGCCGGCCCAACCAATGAGTTGTTGATGAAAGTTTTTTTTAATAGAAGAATCCCAGGTATAAAGAAAATTATTGAAAGTATTAGAATCACTCTTCTAGAATAAAAAACTTAAGAGGCATACCAAAATGCAACGTGAAGACTTTTTTTTGTATCTTTCGATCACAACAAACCATTAAATGACATCACGGACTCAACCAGGGAAATCTGAATATGTACTCAGTATTAGATGATATGAAAGAAATATTAATTTTGTTAGATGTGACACTGGTGGTTAAGCTTTTTTTAAAAATCCGTATCAGTTTGAGATGCAGATTAATTTAAGGGTAAAGTAATATCTGGGATTTGTTTTAAAATATTCACGCAAAAAGAGGGGAGGAGATATGAGATTGGCAAAATGTTGATAATTGTTGATTCTTGGTGATGGGTACATAATGGTTCATTACTAAACATGGATTCATTTTTCTTTATGTTTAAAAATTTCCATAATAAAAGTTTTAAAAAGCAGAGCTAGTGCCTACACCAAGTGATCTTCAGTTGATCTAATGCCCAGGGCTCTCAGTAAGCGATACCGGTCTGCCATTCAACAGTTACTCATTACAGAGCCCACCTTCGCTGATGCCAGTGGAGTCAGAGTTCAGCGAGCCAAGGCCAAGTGTTCAGGAGCTTGGATACCTCACCTCGCAGAAGCCCCGCGGAAAGGGGATGTCCGAAATGAAAGTCCCCAAATATTCTAGAAGGTTCTGCTATTTCTCAGGGATTTCCGAAAGAGGATACAGCGTGTAACTGGCAAACCGCTAGCAGATTTGAGCAGCAGCCTTTTCCTCAGCCTCAGGCCCTACGACATTAACCCTGGGTGGGCGGATGAACGCTCGAGGCTGTCTCGTGAATGTAGTGGCAAGTGAGGCTAACTCCTCCTCTTCCCCACCCGTTCTCGCCCCTCCCCACGTCTGTCCTTCTTCCGTCCTTTCTTCCCCTCCGCTGCCCGCCCTAGCCGCCCAAGGCTCTTTCCCGATCCTTCCTCTCCGGTGCCTCGCCCACCCCTTCCTTAGCCCCGCCCCACATCCTCGCCCCGCCCCTCACCCTAGCGAGGTTACCATAGTTACGATGAACGCGGCAGCTAGGCCTACCTAGTTGTTACCCCGCTGGCGGGAGGGAAGAGGCCGGCACCGTGAGCCACGTAGTGACCATGGAGGAGCCCCAGGCCACGCCGCAGGCGTCTCAAACCCGGTGCGGGGTGAGGTCGGGGGCCTGGGGCAACGCCTCCTCCAGTCGAACGTATGATTGCCTGTACGGTAAGAGCGGCTCCAGACCTTCTTCCAGAGTGGTTGACTCCAGGGACAGGTGGGCTTCGAAATGGTGGGACCTGGCCGGGAGAGCGTGAACCAAAGACAAGCCTCAGGACGGAGCCCTGGCCCGCGGTTGTCCTTTGTTGGGTGGGGGCAGCTCCGAACCCTCCAGGAGGCGGCGCTCTCGGGGGCGCCTCGGAAGCCGCTCTGCGTCTCCTAGCTCCGCGCGGCGCCGCCTTACTCTTTGCCACTCTCTTGTCCTGATAATTTGCACAGCCCTAAACGACCTTCCTGAAACCTATGACGGGAGTTTTAGTGACCAGCAAAGAGTGCAATGATTTTCATACTTGAAGAGTCACTCAACAGTCCCACGTTCAAACTGCATAAAATGCCCAACAAGAAGTACCTTCCCGATCCCATTCTCTGACACCTCTGAATTTGGCATTCTTGGTGAAGAAGTGCCAGTTTATCGCACCTTTGTTTTTAGTTTTCTCTTTTTCTTTAAACATTTTTTTTTAAAGATTTTATTGGGGAATTGAGGGGAGGGGAACAGTGTTGGGGAATCAGGGAAGGGGAACAGACAAGTTGCTGTCCCGCTGCTCCTCAAACCAGCCAGAGGACGTTGCCCAGTCCACTGGCCCATGTTGCTATTGTGATCACTGCGCTCTTCCTGTTCTTCCCGGGTGAGGCAGATCGGCCACCTGCCACTGGACAGCTGCGCACCACAGCTCACGGCAGTTCTCGCTGGCTGCTGGCCGCTCACGTTGACTGCCAGCCACTAACGGTAGCTCAAGGCAGCCCACCGCAGCAAGGACTACAGCCTATGCTATTGCCAGCGATTCGAGACAGCCCTGCCCTAAACTGAGCTGTCGTTCACCATCCCAGCTGCAGATTGCGCAGCGCCACTGGTCCTCATGCGGAATCTGAACCCAGGCCCCGCTGCTCAGAGCTGGCATCGCAAGCCAACTCTTAACCAACGCACCACTCGGCCAGCCCTCTTTAAACATTCTTATCCATCAAAGCATTGCTTATAAACTAGGTCAACTGGGTCCTTTTGGGCCAATAAAGCCCCAATTTATTTTAATGCCCTGATTGTCCATTTATCTTCTGCCTCTTCTACTGGACCTTAGGTCTCTTGAGTTTTTTAGGTCTTGTTCTATCCATTTTTGTAGCCTTCTCCGCCACCTATTCCAGTGCTGGTACATATGCTAGGTGCTTCATAAATGCCTATTGAATTATTGAATTTTCTATTACAAAACTTACAATCAGTTAAGCATGATTTCCCCCCCAATTTTGACTCAGTAGTCCTAGGCTGTTCACCTGAACCTTTTAACCATGTCTATCTCCTCTGGGATTCCCAGAGCTTCCTTTGGGTGGGAATCCTATAGAGTATCCATTTCCTGGTACAGGAGCAATGTAGTGATTGCTTACATATTTATTGGTTTTCTTAGTTTTCATGATTTTCTTTATTCATTCTTGGTTTCATCTTATAAAATAAATCTAGTTAACTCCTCTAAACACATCACCATATTTGTTTCAAAGGTAATTTGGGAATGAGGATAGATATCTTCAGTACAGACAGGCAAAGAATTTAAAGTCCGTGTTTTTATAGCCCTAAAGTATCTTTTTTTTTCTTTCCAGAAGTATTGCTAAATGCTTCCATGTCCCTTGTAAGGAATAGAATCCACTGAGAATAGGCCAAATGAAAGTTTAGATTGTTCCAATAAAACAGGCAGTTTCACAGCTGTTCATGGACTGGAAGCACACTATAGCCAGGACAGGGAAGGTCAGAACAAAGGTGCGGTGCCCTCCTGCTTGACTTCTTGAACCTTATGGTCTTTCACCCCGTTAGAGTTGGCAGATTTAGTAAATAAAAGTACAGGATGCACAGTTAAATGTGAATTCGAGATAAATAACGAATGTTATTTTAATATAAATTTTGAGTCTCATGTAATAGTTGGGACATATTTATATAAAAAGTTTTTCATTGCTTATCTGAAACTAAAATTTAACTGGGCATCCTATATTTTATCTGGCAACTCTAACCCTGCTTCCTTCTATGCATATGCTTCCTTCTTCCATCTGACAGGAAGCCTTGTGTATGGTTTCTTTTACTATGACAGGGACTGGGGTGGCACTCTACGTGACTTCTTTGCCTAAAGCTCACCACCAATTGTACAGCGTTCTTGTGTGTCTTAGCTGAAAATTGAAGAGATAAATAGGATAGGTTGTTGCAGCCTATGAGTTGACTGGTTTGAGTCAGATTTCCATCCTGGCAGAAAGAACTGTGCCGGGATGGGTGTGTGTGTGTGGGTCAATGGTACAAATACAAACACCTTTCCAAGCTCGGTCACTCTTACCCTGCCCCCACCTCTCAAACCCAATGGCCTTTCAATGTAGTTGACTGTCTCTGCAAAGCTTTTGCTCCTCTAGGAAGCTTTGCTTGGATATCTTCACTAACATTAGGTCTGGGAGACAGAAGGATTGGAGTTCAAATCCTAAGTGCCAGTCAGTGAGTTGCTTACTTCTTTTTTATTTTTTTTTATTTTATTGTTAGTTTCAGGTGTACAGAACAATGCAATAGTTACCCTTTTCACTTTCACAAAGTAACAACCCCCCTCCCCCCATCCACTGCCCTCCCACCCCCAATATCATGCTTATCTATTACAATTCCATTGAATCCGTTCCCNACAGCGGTTCGAGGCCAGTCCGAGCTGAGCAGCCGCTAAGCTGCCAATAGGTAGCAGGATGGCTCAGCTAAAAAAAAAAAAAGAAAAAAAAAAAAGAAAAAGGAACTCTTGTACACTCTTGGTGGGAATATAAATTAGTGCAGCCACTATGGAAAACAGTATGGAGGTCCCTAAAAACTTAAGAATAGAAATGCTATGTAATCCAGCAATTCTTCTTCTTAGTTTTACACACACACACACAATTATATATATATATATGAAAACACTAATTCATAAAGATATGTGTACTCCTATGTTCATTGCCACATTATTTACAGTAACCAAGACATGGAAACAACCAGTGTCCATTGATGGATGATCAGATAAAGAAGATGTAAAACACACACACACACACACACACACACACACACACACACACACACACATTGGAATACTACTCAGCCATAAATAAGAGGAACTATTACCATTTGTGACAACATGGATGGATCTTGAGAGTATTATGCTAAGTGAAATAAGCCAGTCGGTTTAATTTTGTGGTTGCTTAGCTGACTGCTCACTTGCCTCATTTCACCGTTTCTCCCGGTGAATCAACTACTTTTCATTATGCAATCGTTATTCCTCCTTCATATAGAAACCTTTTGTGAGTGTATTACTGAATACATATTTCAACATATGTATACTATTATCTTACTTTTCCAAAATAACTTGGAATTTATCAACGCTCTCTTACATACTTTATTGGATGATTTGGATGATATCTTTTGATATTATCTTTGAAATGCTGATATCTTTCAGGCTTAGAAATTCACTCTTAGAATGTAATAAAATCTGCCCTAAACCTATATTATGTGAAACAATAAAAATTACTAGATGGGACCTTTAGAAATTGTTAGACATTCGCTTATCAAACTCACTTGATTGTAGCTAGGAAACTGAGAACCATAAGGGCTGACTCCTCCAAGATCATGGAGATAGTTGGTACTCTGTAATGATTTTTATTAAAGTGAGATTACTTATGTTTCCCCATTGTAATGGATTACTGTGATCAAGTCTGCATCACAGGCAATGAAAATGTTCACATCTGAGCTCTAGTTTTGAATCTTGTTTCCTGGCTCATTTTATGAATCCAGCATAAGCATTCTTGACACCCATGCTTTAATCAAGTAGAGGCTCTACTTCCAGGCCTAGATGACAGATTAAAAATATGCTGAAACCTTTCCCTTCTGCATTGCACACATAAAAATATATTATAAAAATTAATAAACACATAGCCACACTTAAAAACATGAAAGAAAATTTCCACAGTCTAGAAGTGGAGACATCTTCCTAAAAGAAATAGCTGGGAACCTATGATGATGAACCAGGCCCTGTGAATGCTGGGAGCCAGATTCAAGTTACCTGCCTGAGCTAGAGGAGGCAGAAACTCTTCTCCTGCCCACAGGTGTGGATCTCAAGCCCAGAGCCTGCCTATCTAAGGTCATACCCAGAGCTGAGTCAGGTGCTCCTGCCTAGGTCCTTGGGCTTTACCTCTGGTGTTCTGTGGGCTTAGCATTCACGCAGTAGATCAAGAGCCAGGTCCTCTGCAGCAAGGGACTCGTAAATGCTTCCCTAGCGAAACGTCTAATCTGGAGGCCTGCCCCTGGCAGCACTGAGGTTGAAGTATCAATAAAAACCTCATGAGTCAGGCCTACCCCCTCATTTGTGAGACCATAGGTAGGGATTCAAATGGAGGCCCATATCCTATATGTATAGATGTTTAAAAATTACAAGTAAAGGGCAGGCCGAGTGGCGCGATGGTTAAGAACTCGCTTGGGATGCCAGAGGGCCCGGTTCGGATCCCACATATGAGGGCCAGTGACACTGCCCTCTACAGCTAAGATGCTGAACAACAGCTCAACCTGGAGCTGGGCTGCCGTGAGTTGNCAAATATCGAACTTGCTTACGTATCTCAGCTTCTTCAGGTGGTTGTGAATGCTTGAATGATGGATGTTCAATGTTTCTGCAATCTCTCATGTCGTGTAATGTGGGTTTGACTCGATCAATGCCTTTATTTTGTGGTCATCAACCTCGGTGGGCCTCCCTGACCGAGGAGTGTCGTTGAGATCAAAATCACCAGCTCAGAATTTCGTGAACCATTGTTGGCACTGGTGTTCTTGTACAGCATTGTCACCATAAACTTTATGCAACTTTTCACAAGCTTGACTCGCATTTTTCCCTTTATGGAAATAAAACAGTAAAATACGGTGAAAATGCACAGTTTGGTCTTCCATCTTCAACTTGTTGTAAAATCTCCCGAACTCAACCAAATCACTCAAT